GTAGATTTCTACAGGACTTTGCCATCTATAATCAAGGCCATTGCTTAGGTATGATTTAAATTATTGCTTACATGTGTGATACACAATGTCAAAAATTTAAAATCTACTTGCTCCTAATTTGATTAACATTTAAAACTGACAATCAAAATAAAATGCGGGCATTTGCAGTTCTAGTTGGCTGCAGCTATTAATACACTGTATGTACAACAGTTTTGTCTACTCATGTCTTTTCAGTATATCGATATATGGATAACATGGATAATACGGATCTTTCATCCTCAACAATGATCCTGTTCCGAATTTCTGAGTCCACAAGCATCTTCTCACTGGCGCTTTCTCTTGAAATTCTAGATGACCCAAGGCGGAAAAATAATAATTTAAAAAATTAGATGTTAAACATGAAGGAATATTCAGTACCAACACAGTCGGCGGTTTGCAGCGTAATTTGAATACGATGAATAATTATTAGGTCATGCATCATGAGCTGGATCACGCAGACGTATTTCCGGCTGACTTTCTCTCCGACGAAAACATCAACGCGCAACGCAGAGGAGTCTCCGCCGAAAACAATTCAACGCAGAGGATAAGTTCGAATCCCGACGAAGCCCTGAATTTTTTTACTTTTTCGGGCTTAATTTTGAACTGCTTATCAAATTGTGATTAAAATTGCGATGGTTACACCTTCATTTCACAATTTTAGCTATGCTACAACATTTTGAAAATGGAATAGTTGCTTTACTTCCGAAAACTTTGATTACTTGTTGATCTTACAGACAAACTATATGCAATGTGTTCTCCGTAGAAACTTAGCTCAACTTTTAAAATTAATTACAAAAGAGGGGGTAGAACATACCAGTAGAATTACTTAAACTGAACCAAATAAAGTGAGCTCTCTTACTTTCTCAACAAAGTCATTCGTCGTTTTCTTGCGGCACCGGTCGATTTCCAACCTTTATGGTCATCATCAAAGCTCTCTGATCATCCGTTCTCGACTGCACAGGTATCATCACAGCCAAATGTACGGGTCTTGACTGCATTATCAACACAACGAGGTAGATACTGATTACGCAAAATATAACGATGGACATCACGACGAGCAGGACGAGCAAAGCTACGCTGATAAACTCGACATTCATGGTTGGCAATTTGTCTTTCTTCTTGATTGCGATCTGACTCAGTCAAGACAATCGCGTACCTCGAGTCTTCGTTCCTTACTGCGCATGCTGGCTTGACGAAACGAGCAAATCTCGAAAGATCCGTTCGAGGGGCGGTTTTGATTGGTTGCTGGAAAACAATGCAAATGACCGGAAGTAAATCAGAGACCCAATATGGCGGACAGAATTCGAACGCCAAAACAAATTGTCTCCAAGCCTAGTGTCCA